GTAGGAGCTACGTGAACTTCTTGCGTATTACTTCGTTACAAATGCGGTCCAAACGCGTGACACCCGCAGTCCAACGCAACATTCTCGTCTCCATCACACTTAGACGGGCTTCGACTTCTTTGGTAGCGGGCCAGCACTCGGCGCCATATAGGGCGACTGGTCGAACGACACTTCTGTAGATCTTCGACTTTAGCCGTTCTGACATCTTCCTGTCGCAGAGGATCCCCGACATGCATCGCCATTTTGCCCACGCTGCACTCACCCGTGCGCTCACCTCCGCTTTGAGATCTCCATCGGACGTAATTGCTGATCCCAAATACTTGAATGTTTTTGTGCGCGTGAGCTCAGTGCCATCGATTTTAATGGAGCCCGTCTCGGCTGGGTCGGTTGTCAGGTACTCGGTCTTATTCACGTTTAACCTGAGCCCAAACTTTGCCAGGCGATCAGCCCAAGCTTGCACTTGCTGCTCCAGCGTGCTTTTGTCTTCGCATGCAAGCATCACATCATCAGCGTAAAGGAGCGTCCAAGGAATTTCCTTCTGAAGGTCTCGTGTGATGGCATCCATGACGACAACAAAAAGGTAGTGGGAGAGAGCGGAGCCTTGATGTACCCCAACGGTGATGGGAAACTCCATCGAGGTGCCTGCAAGAGTCCGCACTTGGCTCTCTGGCTTTGAATAAAGGATGCGGACCCACTCGATTAGCTCTTCAGGGACACCGTGTTGTCGCAAGGCGTACCATATAACGTCTCGCGGGACGCGATCAAATGCCTTTTCCTAGATCTAGAAAGGCTACATGCACAGGCTTTTGCTTCTCACGATGTTTCTCAAGCAAAAGGCGAGCAGCGTGAATGGCGTCGATGGTGCTACAGCCAGTTACGAAGCCACACTGGTTGGCAGAGAGCTGGACGATGTCACGAATACGGCCATCAACAATTCGCTCAAAGATTTTCATAGTGTGCGAGAGCAAGCGAATTGGACGGTAGTTCGAGCAATCTGCTGGACTGCCCTTCTTCTTCCAAATCGGAACCGTCGTGCTTTGCAACCAGTCCTTGGGTACCTTCTTCTCTGCAGTGATTTGGTTGAAAAGCTTTGTCAACCATTCTGCGGAGTACCACTGCTGTGACTTCCATAGGTCCGCTGCTAGGTCGTCGGGACCTGTAGCTTTACCAGCCTTCATCTTCTTCAGAGCCGCTTCTGTCTCCTCAACTGAAATCTTCCGAAGGGGGCCGTATATTGGTGCCGCAGAGGGGATAAGCGGATGGGTAAATTCCTTTGTCGAGATCTTCTCGAAATAGTCGTGCCATCGCTGCAATACCCTCTTTCGGTTCATCAGAAGATGGCCATTCTCGTCATTGATGCCAAAAAACTTTTCTATGTCTTCGGTTTGGCGGTGACGAGACTTGGCAAGTCGGTACAAGTGCCGCTCACCGTCGCGAGTCTGCCTGTTTGTCTACAAGCGGCATTAGCTAAACCTTCAACTATTAGCATAAAATTTCAAGTGGAACAGACGCGATGACTTGTGATCCTGCCCATTATCTGCGAGGTGAAGGTTGCCAACTTCGAAATTCTTGAAATTAGTTCCGAAGCGTCCTATGAGGATTCCCTCGCTGGGACTTCTAGCTCAACCTATTGCAAATGTATGGAGCAGCTTAAGCGATTTTAGCACTTCGAATAGACGTAAATAGAGGCAGCTGTCGAAGGTACTAATTTTCGCCGACTCAACTTTCAACTTCAACGACTAAAAAATTTACAAAAATCATTTCCTCACCCAAAGCTGTTTCGATATTCTTATAGTACGAGAAGTTTCCTATCAGATGATATTGAACTTGCTCGCAAAAGCTTCCACTTTTTGAACAAAATTTTGATTAAAAAAACGCCATTACTTATGGGCCAACCCAATAGTTTGAAATTTCTACAGCCCATATCTTTGAAGGCAAAGAGGGACTTTCTAGAGACGCCTCTGTATGTCTACTCTCTTACCTTATCGTGCGCATCTCCTTTCCATCGGACCCTCGCAGCCATCACCGCTTCACACCCACACCCCTTTTTGTCGTCAGATGTAGACTGTACCCTTGATATAGAATGGGCGTTGCTAAAGTCAGAATCTACGATTTAGGTGGTTCCATTCTCCCTCGCCAGGCTCCTAACAAAACAACCGCCGAGTCTCGACAAAATCCCTTTGAGTTATTAGTCGCTCCTCATATCTTCAGTGAGTGTATCAAATGGTTCTTGTACGAAATATTTTTGAACATTTAACTTGAAATATAATATGAAAGGCAACGAACAAATCACTTTCAGTTTAGTGCAAATAACAACTCAATCTGATTTCAAGATTGAGATTTCAGAGCAAAGAACTCAAGCTGAAGGAGTTCTTTTCTGGGATGACGGCGAAAGCATCGTTGAGTCATTTGACAACCACAACTTTTACCACTGGTTATTTAATTATACTGAGGCCGAAGACGGTGGACGTTTGTCAGTCACTACAAAAAGACAAGCTGTGAGTCATGAAAGTATCGTGCAGCTACACGGCGTGAGGCTCGTAACTATCCGCAGTCCAAAAAGGAGTTCACAGCACGCACAAAATTGGCGTAGTATTTAGGAAAGTAATTTCACAGCAGACACCCCCTTGGGCTCGAATAACTCAAAGTTTTACCTCGAGCTACTTTTCAGAAAAAGCTGGTTATTCCCACGCTTGACATCATTGAAATCTTCAACTATGTGTCTCGCCCAGACTTTGGCAGTTTCAGCATTGATGGAAAGAAGGTTCGTTACCCAATCAATCAACAATAGGACATTTCCAGGAAATGTTATAAGGGCAATGTTATAAATATGTGACTGTTTCCTTTTCAGGTAAACATAAACATTCACACATCCCATTACGACGATCAGAAGAAGATTTTGTACATTTCGTCGGAGAAATTGATGGACATTTCGAAACAAGGCACCACAACTCTTTCTTGGAAGAACTCGAAGAAAGAACCACAACGTCCGAGTTCGCCGATTGAGGTAATGAGATGTCACCCGAAAAACGGTCACAGTAAAGCGCCAAAGAGGACTACTTATGCTGAAATGCCTTTACTTTTCCCAGCAGGACGATAACAAACACCTGGCAGGTCTCATCATCAGTTTATCTGATGTGGAGCGTCGAGGCAGTTCGACGACGCGGGAGGGGCAATTTGCATTCCTGTTACTTCCATCGAAGAGTCGACCCATCTTTAACATCTCGAGTTCATTGTGGCTCAACAGGCTTGCTCCCGTTTCACGAGCATTCACAAGTTTTAGCAAAGCGAGACTTGTAAACCGGAAATGGTGAAGCAATGAAAGTGCAAAATGCTTCTCTCCCCGTTGCCGAACTACGCCTAGAGCGTCTTTTTTCCTGCGTGGAACTTGGCTGTAACAGTGCGGGCTCCGTGCGTGATAACACTCGACGGGAGGGGGGGGGGGAGAGAGTGGGATTCCGACCAGTCAGAGGAATGTTTTATGTGAAAGATCAAGTCACTGCGAGTCACTGGTGAATAGAGCAGTGAAATTGTTGATGGTACGCGATGGAAGGGGAGCTGATGAGGTAGGCAGTGCTGCTGAAGACCAGATTAGGGTGAAACGGAATTAGATTCCTCCAGATGAAACTGTTGAAGCTTCATTGTTCAATCTTTCAGTGGTCTTGATCATAATACGCACCGATAAGAATATCTGTGCTTCCGATGGTCGTGTTTACTGAGGCATCGCCCATACCGGCTAATCGTGCACGTTCACTCAATTCGAAGATGCTAATCAGGGTAGTCCACCAATTTACCATGGAACTTGAATAAAGACCTGGGTAGATCGATAGAGTTCATAAGGTTATTTACAAAAATAGATAGCAAAACTGCAACCTGCATTTCACAAGCAACTTATGAGCAGGTAAAGTTTGTAATGGTGCAGTAGGGTGGAGGCTTGGTGGTGAGCTGTGAAGCATAAACGACGAAAATCGAAACGTCAAGAAAAAAACGTTAAAGCGGAATCGCATACGTCGAATCGAGTCGTGGTGGTTCAGTGGTAAGGTTCGACGACTCGATTCGACGTATGCGATTCCTCGCTTATGCTTCACAGCTCACCACCAAGCCTCCACCCTACTGCACCATTACAAACTTTACCTGCTCATAAGCTTGTGAAATGCAGGTTGCAGTTTTGCTATCTATATTTGTAAATAACCTTATAGACTCTATCGATCTACCCAGCTCCCCTTCAAAGTTCCATGGTAAATTGGTGGACTCCCTTGGTAAGCAACGGAGCAGAGCGGTCCGCTTCTTGCAGGAGAAAGCTCCCTAGCCCAGTTAGCCACAATATCATTCAAGAAGTTTCTGAACACTATTTATCCTTCACTGCCCCGTTTTTGAAATTCGCGTCAGAACTTCGATCAACGCAAATGATGCATCTCCAAAGGAAGCGAAGGGCGTCAAGGATGGGGAAGTTGGGTATATGTGAGAGTGTGGCCTGCTTCTGCCCGCCCGCACCCTTCTCTGACATGGTGCGAAGGAAACTATCACTATCACAGGCACTCAGCGATCGGCTAAGCTGCCCGAACCCCACGCTACACGCGTAGGGTCAAAACAAGGTGCCATCGCCTATGGCGCGGACCCAGGAGGATGCGATATGTGCGTTCAGGAACTCATACTATCAGAAGAGGCAGGCTTTCAACCGATTCCGGGTTCGCAGACGAAAATCTCATCCAGAAAACTGGAACTGTGCCGGTTACTCTTTAAAGGCAAAACCCGAGACCACAGGTTGCGGGTAACAAGCTCAAATACGAACGACAAAGTGCTAGGTAACTGACTATTGGAGAAAAGATGCAGAAAAAACAGTCCGAAGTGCTCTAAATAGGACTCCATGCCAACCCCAACTTGTACGTGCATGCAATGAAGAAAACGCGTGTTTGTACGAATTTCCACTCGTCGTTATCATAAAGATATCAGCTCTTTTATCTTATCACCTCACTCTCACCATTCGGAATGGAGAGAGATAGCATAGTGGCTACTAGCTAGTAGCTAGCAGCCGGTGGGGTCGGCATGGGCCTAAGGGGTGCCCATGGGCCTAATTGGCCAAGTTCCAGCTGAGTTCTTGCCAATGTCAGTGGTCCCACGGATGGTGCACTCACGTCATGTTTGGCTCCGTCCTATGGAAGCGATGGGCGAACTCGCGAAAAGACGAGGCGCAACTCCAAGCGTCATTGGTAGAAGGGCTCTAATTCGATAATTACCACCCGAAAAAAGTAATGCGTTAACTGGAGCTCATCCGCCAAAAGTCTTGTCAAAGTTATGCTTTCAGAGTTTCTCGTTCTCAGCAAAACAAAAGCGAGCCATCGAAAAAAGAAGGCGATGATTGGAACGTAGGATTAGGGATTCTGAAGCTTACCGAAAAGAAAGTGCACTATGAGGACGAGAAGAAGATAAAAAAGAGTTACGATCTCTACATCTAGCAGAAAACCAAAGAATCAAACAAGCAACGATGTGCAGTGCGGATCGAAAAAAGTCATCATTCATCATTAATTTCCAACTGTGCATATCCTCATTTGAATGCACTAATAAACTCTTTGGAGAAACAATGCTTTTTTCACATGTAATTTCAGTAGAACTTAAAGTTACTCACCTTAGTCATTCTTGTACTGCAATAGTAGTCCCATGAGGAGATGTTCTTCTCTCTGAATAAAAGCGGAACATCACTCCAAAACTTTGAAAAATGGTAGAGTTGATGATGAGGTCGATGGAATAGCTGAGCGTTTCGTACAGTGTGGAAAACACTTCGCTGAGGAACAAAAAGAACATGAGATATCGCAGAAAGTCTAAAAGAAAGTTTGACGTTGGTAAATCCTTTTTTAAAAGTGAAGTGCCGCCTGGCCCAGTAACACTCAGAGACGTAGGGGCATTTTGATTGCGTTCTGGCCTATGCCATGACCTATGGGGTTAGCCAGTGTGCGTGTTTCTCCCAATCAATTCTGGTACAATCACTCGATTTTAAAGGGAGGCGAGGACGAAAGCCTTTGCTAGCAATTGAGCCAATCCGGAATCCAATCTCTCGACCACGCATCTGGTAAACTGCGCTACGTAAACTCTATTATCCCCACCATCACATTTGAATGAAAACATTTGATCAGAATAATGCTCTACTGCCGCTCAGTGCAACCCCCCCCCACAACACAAATGGACGCCCACCCCCCACGGGGGGACTTTTTCCGCTTCATTAACGGAGTGCAACTAATATGAAGCGTTGCTAAACGAATATATGGACAAATATGT